CCCCATAATGCCCTTACACCCATAATGCTGGCAAAGCATCATGGGAGGTGTAGTCCAAAACATCTGGAGTGCTGAAGGTTGCCTATGCCTGGGTTAAACTGTTAAGAAAAATCTGCAAGCTTGTGCCCTATCACTCTTCCCCTCCTAATGGCTGAGGTTTCAATCAGGAAGCCACTGACTGAATGCCGCTGATAGGGTAAGAGCATCATCATTAGTAGTTCCCAATTCATGAAAGTGAATGAAATCAAAATGGGGAACTACTGATAGACTGAAATAGTGAGCTGACACTCTCAGCCTATAAGCTTCGCTCAGCATGAGGCTTCCTGATTGCGCATGCACTTCCTCCTTGTGTCTGAGACTTCAGTGTGATATTGTGTTAGCAAATGGTTTCACCCCAAAGTCTATAAGCTAACGGTTTAACCCCTTCAGGTGAGACAGTGCCCGTGACCTCCTCGGACCATAAATGCTTTACTGAGATGAAGTTATAAGTTTGTTTTTTTCCCAGTAAGTGCGGGCCACTGTAATTGCTCCATCTCTGTTCCAACACTCAGTAAGTCAGAATGCAGACTGGCAATACTGGCAGCTGCGCTCTGACCGACTAATGAGGGCAAGGAGTACGCGGGAGCGATTAGTGTGGTGTGTACGTGACAGAGGACCTGTCCCGGTCATATCCTCCCTGTATCAGCCCTGTTGCCTGCCTGAGGCAAAATTAAATGGAAAAAATAGTGCCTGCTTGGGGCCAAATAATTTTGATAATAAAATGTGTTATACTCCTAGAAGTAAGCTGCCAAAGTGGTATATTAATGGCCTTTTTGGAAATATTTAAGTCGAATTATGATGACACCAGGTAACTTGATAAAGACTTGCTGGCATTTCAGGTTTAGGTTGCCTATATGGGATGGATTAATCTGATATGCTTCAGATATGTTCTCTCTGTAATGGCACAAGTGAGCAAAACCTATTTTGAGACCTGAGTGGGTATTTACTGAAGGGCAAGCTACTGACTTTCTCTTAACTTTTGTCTGTTCTCAGAATTCTCAAATTCCTTGTTTTTGTGTATACATCATGCTTCTGAATTCTCACTGCTCTGTTCACTGTCATTTAAGAATTAAATGACTTTTTTTCTGTTTATGCCCTAGCCACACCTCCCCTGGCTGTGACTGACAGAGCCTGCATGAAAACAAAATGGTTTACATTTCAACTTAATTGAAATGTTTTTAAATCTACTGCTCTTTAAAATCAACTTTAATTACATACACAAGACTCCTGCAGGGTCTAGCAAACTATTAGAAGAGCAGGAGATAAAAAATTTTTGAATTAGACAGAATTTGCAAAAAAGGAAGCATAAACATCAGATGACCCTTTACAGGAAGATTTTAGGAAGACTGTGTAAGTCACATGAAGGGAGGTGTGTCTAAGTCTGCATAAACAAAGTGATTTAAAAATTGCTTTTAAATCCAGATCAAGAAAAGAAAAAGCAAGTGTTGCCAACTATATTAAAGTAAAAAAATGAATGCATGTGCCTGAATATTATCATATATTTAACTTAATAAATGAATTGTCAGAAGTTAGAAACCATGACACAGATGCACTGTAAGAGTCCTATTTATTTTAGGAAATAATTCTGCGTTCAGTTTTTCCCTCTTACAGTTTACACCCTAAAGTCTTACTTATGTGTATGAACCTGTAAAGAAATGTGAAACTGCCTATATAATACAATAATTAGTTCCCTGAGGAAATACAGCAAGTCTTTAACATTCAGTCTTTATTGTCAGATTTATATGCGTTATGTTATGATGACTGCTTCATGTTACCTATATTTTTGAAAGTTTCCAATTTTCTGCCTGAATGATTTTCACAAACTTGAGGAGTTTAAATAAGGTCACATGTGCAACTGTTATTTCAGGCACTGTGTCGTATTATAAGATCATGCATAATATCAAACCACTGGTATTATACTCTAGAATCTTACACAGTATTAAAGGGACACTATAGTCAGCAGAACCACTGCTGCTTAATGTAGTGGTTTTGGTGTCTATAGTCTGTCCCTGCAGGCATTTTAATTTAAACATTGTATTTTCGAGTGTGTATATATATATATAATATATAAAGTATAAACAAGTATATATCTTTAATGTATTTGTGCTTTGTTTCTAATTTGTAAATCTTTGATAACTTTGCAAGGTTCATTCGATTTTTATGTTTTCTGACTATGAACTTTGGATTGAATTATATTGTTAATTTATAATTTAGCTGTATGATCTAGGGTGGTTTATTGTTAGCTCAATTTCTAGCATTCTATAATCATTGTAATCATTATATCTGATGATTGTTATATGTGGCCCAACACTTTCTAAATGTTTTTCTGTTCCATTTCATTTTTAGATAGTGAACCTTATAGAAGAAACTGGACATTTCCATATCACAAACACGACATTTGACTTTGACCTATGTTCTCTGGACAAAACCACAGTCCGTAAACTACAGAGTTACCTGGAAACATCTGGGGGATCCTGAGAATATCACATCTGCCTGCCTAGGGTGGACTTGTAAAGGGCAGGAAAAACACAACAACTGAACTGTTCATGATTATGTAGGATAAAATGAAAAGAAACCCAAGAGAACTATAAGGAAAAAAAAAAGTCTTCTGATTTTTTTGTTGTTTCTCGAGTTTGAAGAAAAAAACTAAATCATGACTAGAGGAAGGTCTTCCTTCTTGTTATGTATATATTCTTGGAGATTAAACCTGGAAAGCCTTGAAAAAAAAAAAAAAAGACATACACAACATGTACTTGTTAAGTTAACTGACGTGTGTATGGTATGGTGTGTCTTTTAGTGGCATTTGAATCCACAAAGCACATGCATTGTCGTCACACTCACTGCCTTACTACGTGACTGATTTATTTATTACTGTATACCTATTTTCCAAATGTCATTATGGGAATGACACTACCCGATGCTACTAGCCACTATGTGCATCCCAAATACATGCTCCGTTTTTCGAGCACGACTGCCACCAGAAAAGAAAGGACTTTAACCTAGAAGAACATTTCTCAATCAAGCAGCAAATACGTGGTATCTTTTTCCACTGGTGTGTTTTATGGAAGTGTAGACAGAAAGTAGGGAATCCCCAAAAGTGGACCAAACTCAATGTCACTGTCAGCATTGTTTGATTCAGATTTTTTTGTTTTTAAAATAAAATAAAAAAATATCATTGCATGGACCTTCTTTAAAAAAACCAACAGAAACAAATAAGTGCATCAAATAGCATTATGTGACTCGTAGCCTTGGTAGGTGAGCCAGTAGCATACCCCGACAAAAGAATAGATGTTGAGCTGATTTGAATCTAGCATTGTTTGTCTACTCAATATGCTTGTGTCGGTTTCAATGTTTTTCTTTCTTTCATTCTTTCTTTCTCTATTTCTATATCTACATATATAGAAACAAAGGTAAGGACAACGTTCAGGTTCTTTGTTAAAATGATCGTGCACGTCATCTATTCTTATCTGATGAAATGCTGTAGAAAACATCTTTATTTGGGACTATTTATTACACGTTTCCAATGTCTGTGGCTGACAGGTGTGTTCATTATTGTTTCGATGGACAAAGTGGCATTCAACATTACTATTTTTTCCTGGATGGTCACCTATTTGTTTATTGTTCACTAATGTAAGTTTTTTTTTTTGTTTGTTTTGTTTTTTTTCTACTTGGAAATTTTTTTTTCTTTAAATTTCTTATACAGTGATCTATTGGGATCAAAAGATTTTTGAGTAACTTCAGGAATCCATTGTTTTGTTTACAAAGAATTTTTTCTATGCTCAAAACTTATAAAATGTGCTAAAAAAATTAAATGTCTGTGTCATCTATACTTTGTTTAATACACAAACATATCATATAGTATTCTTCATACTCACTTGTTTGGGCCTAAATTGTATGCAGTGAAAAAATCCATGACTACTTATTTTCTCTGTATTTATAGAAGATGGATAGAAAACTAATCAATATGCATCAACCCTGCTTTATTTCTTACTCTTTTCTTCTTTGTTGTGTTGGTAAAGAATGCAAAAAGTACTCCTCGGGTGCTTTATCATTTAGCAACCATCTGTACATCTGCATTTGATTTAATAGACAAACCATTTTACTCCAAACTGTATTTTAAAATAACATAGTGTGGTCAAACATTTACTACGAGTCTAAGACCTATTATAAAAATACAGGCTTGACTTTGCCATCATTGACTCCGGTCTAATTTAGCCCTAAGTAAATGAGTTGTAAAATCACCTAAACGAAAAAATTGCTTAAATAGGCATATTGTAACATTTAACTTGCTTTTGAGGGCCCTTTTAGAGCCAATGTCACCAACTGCTTCATTCACGTGAACTCTATAGTAATAATAGAGGAGTGGTAGGACAGCAACACGAATATGCGCCACAGATCAACTGGATTAATTGACATTAGGGTGATACCACCTTGATAAATAGGATGCCAATATAGCACACACCTTAGCAAATAATAGATATAGTGAGGGAAAAACGTATTTGATCCCCTGCTGATTTTGAATGTTTTCCCACTAACAAAGAAATGATCAGTATATGATTTTAATGGTAAGTGTATTTTAACAGTGATAGACAGAATAACAAAAAAATCTAGAAAAATGCATGTCAAAAAAGTTATACATAGATTTGCACGTCAATGAGTGAAATAAGTATTCGACCCCTTCGACTTAGTACTTGGTGGCAAAACCCTTGCTGGCAATCACGGAGGTCAGATGTTTCTTGTAGTTGGCCACCAGGTTTGTACACATCTCAGGAGGGATTTTGTCCCACTCTTCTTTGCAGATCCTCTCCAAGTCATTAAGGTTTGGAGGACGTCATTTGGCAACTTGAACCTTCAGCTCCCTCCACAGAACAACTCCAGAAACTTAATGTGCTTCTTCTTGAGCTACTCCTTTGTTACCTTGGCTGTGTGGGTCATTGTCATTCTGGAATATCCATTCATGACACATTTTCAATGTCCTGGCTGAGGGAAGGAGGTTCTCACCCAAGATTTGATGGGACATGGCCCCGTCCATCGTCCCTTTGATGCGGATCAGTTGTCCTGCCCCCTTAGCAGAAAAACACCCCCAAAGCATAATGTTTCCACCTGCATGTTTGATGGTGGGGATGGTGTTCTTGGGGTCATAGGCAGCATTCCTCCTCCTCCAAACACTGCGAGTTGAGTTGATGCCAGAGAGCTTGATTTTGGTCTCATTTGACCACAACACTTTCACCTAGTTCTCCTCTGAGTCATTCAGATGTTGATTGGCAAACTTTAGACGGGCCTGTACATGTCCCAGCTGCCTTAAGTTCATTAACAAGATCATCCAGTGTAGTTCTGGGCTGATTCCACACCATTTTCATGATCTTTGAAACTCCACAAGGTGAGATCTTGCATGGAGCACCAGACCGAGGGAGACTGGCAGTTATTTTGTGATTCTTCCATTTGCGAATAATCACACCAACTGTTGTCACATTCTCAGCAAGCTGCTTGGCAAAGATCTTGTAGCCCATTCCAACTTTGTGTAGGTCTACAATCTTGTCCCTGACATCCTTGGACTGCTCTTTGATTTTGGCCATGGGGGAGAGTTTGGAATCTGATTGCTTGCTTCTGTGGACAGGTGTCTTTTATACAAGTAACAAGCTGAGATTAGGAGCACTCCCTTTAAGAGAGTGCTCCTAATCTCAGCTTGTTACCTGTATAAAAGACACCTGGGAGACAGAAATCTTGCTGGTTGATAGGGGATCAAATACTTATTTCACTTACTGACTTACAAATACATTAATAACATTTTTTACATAGGTATTTCCTTTTTTGTCATTCTGTCTTGCACTGTTAAAATACACCTACCATTGAAATTATAGACTAATAATTTCTTTGTCAGTGGACAAATACTTTTTCCTCTCACTGTAACCAGTTGTTGCAGAGCCTCAAAGCACTATAGTGCTAGAAATGCAAATCTGTATTCCCAGCACTAGGCTTGCATCTCTCCCTCTCCTTCTCCCTGCACTGTAAGGGTTAATAAATCATTGTATTTACCCGATTCCAGCACCAATCTCCCTCAACTCTGTCGGTGTTCCGCCTCCTTTGACATCACCTGAAGGTAAGGGGCGCTGATGCACATGTGCAGCAAGCGCGCAAGCACATTAGGTCCTCCCTATAAGAAATATTTGCTTCAATGCTTGCCTATGGGGATTTAGAAGACGCTGGATGTCCTCATGCCAAGCCGTAACCCTGCAATGTAAGTATTACAGTTTCTCAGAAACTGCAATAATTAACATTGCAGGGTTAAGGGGACAGACACACTGCACCCAAACTACTTCAATGAGTGCCTATAGTGTCACTTTAAGCTGGGTGTGAATCTGCAATGTTCCTAGAGCCAACAATTAAGTATATAACACACAAACATGAATACAGAGACCGGGGTGCCTGTCCTAGATCCGCACTGCAAAAAATATATTATTTCTTTTCATCTTTGCAATAATATGCGGATCAACTAGATGATCCCCATTTAACATCCTTTATTTTCGTTCATACAGTTTTAAAACATCCTTAATGCTATTCTTCATATGTACATGTAGGTCTTTTAAATGTAAGCGCAACAATAAAATTAAACATACTTGGCTAAACCAAAGGATGACTAATTAAATCAGACATTAAATCCTCCTTACCTGTGGTTTCAGAACATTTTATGGGAATGGTTGTTTTAAATGAATACAATGGTGAGATTTTAGAATAAAATCCCTGGCATTCACAGCAAAGCTATATAAAAATTAATTATGTGCCAAAGCCTCCAGTTGTATGATAATACAAAATAGACGATTCTGCATGAATAATGGTAATTTAGACATTTATCCATTTTCATACAGGAAAAGCACCTGTCTTTTTTTTTTTTTTTATTGATGAAAATAATAGGCTCACTTTATTTTAAACTCCATTATATTACGTCAAGGAATAAGGTAAAAAACAGATTATGTCATGGGCCTGTCATTAGTACCCTACAATAGCATTTGCAATTAAAATTACTTTAAACATTTTGACATTTCTGTATTTTCTTTGCATTCATTGTGGTAAATTTTACAACTGTTAATCTCCATGTTATCCTTATTCTGCCTTTCACACGTAATCTGTACGATCAGCTCATGACGGGGAAACCGTTTTATATTTAATATGTTGTCTTTGCAGTTTCTTTAAATCCAAAGAGTTATTTTTGTATTTAGCTTTGTTTTTTGTTTTGTATTTTAATTTTATTTGTATTGAGCTGTTTAATGCTGGTAAGACTGCTTCCAAATCAACAAGTGTTCTTTGCAGTAATGTTATGATTCTATATGATGATTGGCATGAAGCATACTTGAAACATTATGATGTCTCAAACTCTATTTAATGTGCAATTATTATTGGGGGAAAAAAATGAAAATCATGTGTCGAAGTATGTGTGCTATCTTTGTTTTCCATTTAATTTGCTTGGCATTTATGTTGAAGTATTTAGACATGGAACAAATCTAGCATTTTAGCTAACTGGTGCACGTTCCAGATGGTACATTTTATGTCCTTATTAAACCAATTGTGTATGTATAATTTGGTACACACATATTAGTTTGTAAGTCTTTTTTTTTATTTTTTATTATTATTCTATTTTGTTATCCAAATGTAGCTGCATTCCTGGTGTGCTGTTTCTCGCAGATTACTTGGATGCTTTTTCATCAAACAGACCTTTTTTTTTTTTCTTTTTTTTTCCTATGCCTTATATGATGCATTATAAATCTAAATCAAAACAAACCTGAAAATGTGGCTAGAGAATCTCTCCTGTCCTGCAGGTTTTCCAAGAGCATAAGTCTACCTAAATAAACTGTCTGCAGCAACCCGTAAATGCCTGGCTAATGAGAAAAGTTTTGACAATGCATGAGATTCTGCATTGCTTTTGGCAAACCAGATTGTGGGATCCCTGCTGTAAAGAAACAATGGACCTGTGTACAGTACCTGGACCTTTAAATCAAGTTATTGTGTCATCATTTGAGTCACCATTAATTCCATTATGCATTCCTCTTCATTGATGCTCAGTCTTGAATTTTACATATTCCTGATTAGAGATCTACCACTATTTAACAGAGAATGCAGTGTCAAATTAATTGCCCCATGGGCGTGGAGCTGAATCATTTGATTTACCTAATTGCAGGATTATGTTAAAGGAAATCTCCAAGGACCATAGTCACTACAAAGTGTTATAGTGGTTATGGTGCAAGGAGTGCCCTATCACCCTGCATTGTAAATACTCAAACCATTTTTGAACAGTTTGTCTTCTGAGCTAAGCCTTGCAGTGCGTAGTTGGCTCATTTGCTGAGAGCATCATCTAATCAATCTCAGCCAATTCTAAAATACTTAGAATACTTACAGTGGCACTCATAGCACCCAGGGCTGGCCCAAGACCAATTTAAAAGTTGCCCCACTCCCCAAAACCATGCCCACCAAAATATGCCCACATCCATTGTTATGCAGAGTGTGTAGTGTATGCATTGTGTGTGTATATAGTGGATGCAGTGTGTGTAGTGGGTGCAGTGTGTATAGTGACTGCTAGAGTCAGTCATTGTGTAGTGCTGTGTCAGTCTGTGTAGTGGATACAGTGTCTATGTTTGTGTAGTAAATGCTGTATCTGTGTTTGTGTTTGTAGTGCTGGGGAGGATGCATGCCACATGTCTGTTGGCCTTTATCAATTTTCCTAAATGGTGGGGTGCATTAACAAATGTCTTTTTAACCCCTTAGTGACTGCGGATGTATGAGGTACGTCCGACAAAAAACGGTCCTTAAGGAATTAGAGCACTGGAAGCGATCATGATTGCTTCCAGCAGCTCTAATGGTATTGCAGTGATGCCTTGATTTTGAGGCATCACTGCAATACTCCACTCACTGCCGTGGCCCCCAGAGAACACCGGGTGATCGCTGCCCCCGGAGCGATCACTTCCGGGTTGCTTCGTGTGCAACCCAGGCAGTGAGGCAGATCATTGGAAGGCATCAGGCAGGCTTCCGATGCTCTGCCTGTACTGAGTGCCTTCACTCAGTAAATATATTTTTAAAAAAAATGTAAAAAAAAATAATTAATAATAAAAATATTTTAACCCCTATCTTCCTCCCATGTACTTACTGATCGCCGCTGTTCCCCTGCCGGTGAGCAGTCTTCTTCTTAGGGGGAACTGTCTGGGCTCAGTCCAGACAGTCCCCCCCTCTCCAATTTAGGGCCCCCAGGGGCCATGTGACCGGTTACATGGCCGCCATAGGTGTCTACAGTGTAAGTGTGTGTGTGTATATATGTATATATATATATATACACACACACAAACATATTTTAAATATATATATAATAAATTAATTTTTTTTTTTATAAAAAAATAAATAAAACACTAACTTTGGCTAGCTGAACACAAAAAAGAGTGTATAAAACAGTAAAACTTATGACGACGATGAAATCACCAGTAAAAGTGCAGTTTTTGGTTAAAAAAAAATGCAAAAAACAAATAACGCTAACTTTGGCCAGTGTTTGTGACTAAGTGGCTACTACAAAAGACTGGAAATACCCCATTTGGAATACCCTGGGTTGTCTACATTTGAAAATGTTATTCCATGATGGGGTTATTTCACATTCCTGGGTTCGGTGTTCGGTGATTTAATGACGCATTTTGAAAGGCTGCAGGGAAGCCAATCAACAAGCGTTTGACTCGTGTGCCCTTAGAAGTCATCACAGCCATGCCTACTAATGGCATTTCTGTGATTGGCCAATGAAGCATGTGACCCAGCCTCTATATAAGCTGGTTACTTAGTATTATTAAATTGTGCCCCTACTCGCTATACTGCGAGTAGGGGCATAACTATTAAACAATGAGCAGCCTGTGGCTGCTCACTGTTAAAAAAACAAACGAAACATGCGCGGGTGGGGGCTTTTAAACTAAACCCTATTGCCCCCCCACGGCCACCACCCCTGAGCGGCGGGTGAGGGCCCTAAATATCAATAAGGGGGGGAACCTATTGTCCTCCCCCCCTGACCCCCACCCCTGCGCGTTGGGTGAGGGCCCTAAATAACAATAAGGGGGGACCTACTGTCCTCCCACCCCAGCCCCCACCCCTGAGCGGTGGGTGGGGGCCCTAAATAACAATAAATTCCAAAGAACTTTCCCACGCTGTGTAAAATGACACAGAGCACTCTGATTGGTTAGCTTGAAATCCATCCAATGTCAGAGCACTCTGATTGAATGGCTTAAACCCACCAATCAGAGTGCTCTGAGCCTAACTGCAGGGCGGGGGAAGGCTTTATAAGTTATAAATTGATTATTTAAAAAAAAAAAAAAAATTTTTAAGTGCGTTGGTTATTATGGATTTTTATTTGCCCTTTTTTGGGGCTGAAAAAAGAAGAGTTTAGAAGAAAGAAGACATCAAATGGTAAGTCTATTTTTTTTTTAGAGGTATTTAGATAAGGGTCCCCCTCATTTTTTTTAGGATGAGGGGGGTAGGTAGGGGTAATTTTTTGGGGGGAGACTAGGGGTTTGGGGACCCCTAGTCACATGGGGGGGTACATTTTTATTTAGGGCCCCCACCCGCCGCTCAGGGGTTATTTTAAGTGATTTCCCTATCCACATTTGTTTGCAGGGCACTTGTCCTACTCTTACCCCCATTTTACTTCCTTTTGCAGCTCTCTAGCCCTTTCCATGACTTTTTTAGAGCCATTTTTGTGCCCAAAAGTTCAGGTCGCCATTGACTTCAATGGGGTTCGGGGTCAAGTTCGAGCCCGAACCCGGACTTTTTTTCAAAGTTCGGCCGAACCCCCCGGATCCGAACATTCAGGTGTCCGCTCAACTCTATCTAAGAGAGGGATTCATTACAAAATGTAGAGAGGCAATCTGGGCACTTTTTAGGTCGAACATCAGAGGGTTACAATAATCATGGTGGTAAATAACGAGACCAAGGACAAGTGTCTTAGTTGCATCCTGAGTGAGAGAAATGTTTTTAGGTGAAATCAACAAGATTTGATGATAGATTTTGTGTAGGAAGGAAAAGAGAGGTCAAAGTCAAAATGCACACCAAGGTATTGTGCCTATGGGGTAGAGGTAGCATGATATCTCTGTTGACTTTAAGAGAAACAGGGACAGGTGTTACTTTAGGAGGAAGTAAGATAAGGAGTTAGGTTTTGGAGAGGTTGAGTTTTAGGAATCATGAAGTCTTTCAGTCAGAAACAGAGGATTGACACATTTCAGCACATGGGGAGAAATATCATTGGATTAGAGGTAAATTTGCTTACCATCGGCATGCAAGGTAATGTAAATTGAGAATAGGTCAAGCTTGACAAAGACTCTATTCTGGGTTGAAAGTTGCAGTGTTCCCTTATGTTCAAATAAACTTGCCTGTAGCTACAGGAGTGCCTGTACCTCTTTTCTGTTACTGGTATTTATCAATTTGGGCCTGTGCTGGCCCATGGTCTAGTTTGGCACCCTTGTGTGGATTGAGTGCGATTCCTAATTGTATATTGAGATATAGTGTCCCTTTAAGCATATGATTTTCCCCATCATGACTGGGGGTATCTGACCTCTCTCATCTCACCACTAGATTTTCTTGGAGAGATTTATAACCCTATACTCCCAGCTTCCATTACCAATGGTAGTAGAATGCCATACATTTTACTCGTGGCTGAAGGGCCTTGTCTTTTTGACACCTAGCAACAACCCTGCCCTCTAGCAGGCAACATTCGACCTGCAGGCCATATGCTTGACATTCATTTCTGCTCTCTGCATGCTAAATATGACAAGATATTGCTTCTTCTCCCTTCTTAGCTTACCAAGCCATTATCTTCTCAAATCCTGCTCCCTTCACACTTCCTTTCTCATCTTTCCCCCCATTTACTCTTTTCCTCTGGTTTTTGTTAGAACTGAGTTTTTATATTTCTCTGTTGCCTTTTAACATGTTTTTTGGTAAATATAAATACATATATACATATGAGTGCAATTACTGTCGGCCACCTCTTCTACATGAATGGCATCAAGCTGTATGGAATGAATCTGCAAGACATTGACTCACCTATCCACCTAAGAAGGATATACAGTAAAGACATCAGAATGTCATTCAGACTAGATAGGTGTGAGTGGATGATAACAACAAGAGGGAGGATGATCAGGACTAAGGAGTTGAAGGCAAAACAGGAGATGTACAGAACTGTTACAAATACATGGGTATACCACAAAAATGAGAATCATGATATCATGGTAAGGAGGACTGCAACATCCAAGCACTTCCAGATAGTCAAACAGGTTTTGATGTCCCAGCTCAATTGCAAGAACAAGATCTAAGCCATCAACAAATATGCTATACCAGATATCAGATACCCAGCTGGGATAATAACCTGGCCAAGACACCATTTATAATCAAGACCCAGAAACCAAAAATCCAACACCTAGAGACTGTACACCAACCGGAAGGAAAGAGATTGGAGTCTGATGAATGTCAAGGCCCCAGTCCTGGATGAAACACAAGTACATCACAAAAATGATTCCCTAAGATGAAGTGCTTAGGGAATACCTGAGAAAACACCACATAGAGGATGCAGATAAGGAGGCAAGGGAAACTTCTCCATAGGATCTACCATCAGAAGATAATGTGTGACTGACATTACAAAATCCTACCAGTGGTTGGTAAAAGCAAAAATTAAAGACTGCACACTCTGCACGTTAGGTACCACGTGGTGGAGCGGTGTTAGATGTGGCAATACCCAATGACTATAACATTAAGAAGAAGCAACATGAGAAGATGGACAAATATCAATGGGCTGAGAGATAAGTTAGAAAAGATGGGGAAAGTGAAGGCATTAGTAGTTTCAATTTTGATAGGAACAATCAGAGTTGTAACCCCAAACTTGGGAGATTGGCTTCAGCAGATTCTAGGTGGGACACTAGAGATCTCTGTCTAGAAGAATGCAGTTCTAGGAACAGCTGAGATACTTTTTAACCTTCAGATGACCAGGACTCTGGTAGAGGACTCGAGAATTAGACATACTTAAAAATATGACCTGGAGGTGAGAAGGTACATTTTTACATATATCTGAAATTATGCCACATTTTCAACCAAGACCTCCTTTCCCAAATCTTGCTTTATAATGGGCATTTTGTTTCATTATAGTGTTTGTTGTTATAATATCCTTGCTATTGTCACAAATATTCTGTAACATGGAGACAAGGGTATGGAAGGGCACCGGGGGGACACTGGAACAGAGTGTCAGTGAAGGAATGGTCCTGCAGACATTACGCAGCTGGAGATCCCTAAGAGGGCAGCCCCAAATTACGCCCACGCCTAGCCCCTTACAACTGGTGACACACAACGTCAAACCATCTTAGGTTACAAGGAATACATTCCCATACGTAGAGCTTTATGAGATGGGGGACTACTATGAGATGGGGGACTACGGGACCTTACCTTGTTGCTGGAGGGTAGACCTCAGACCCCCCTCAAACTCCTCCGATATATGCAACTGAAGCAGTACTATAACGCGCTGCTACATAAAGAACGCCTACACAGAGAGCTCACCTGGTTTGAAGACCTGTGCGAACGAGGTGCCCCACTAGAACACACAATCTCCACACTATACCAGTATCTAGTAGTAGGCGATCAGATGACTAACAACACCTTCCGGAGGCAATGGGAGGAACTAATGGGTAAGACGTTCATCACATCGCAATGGGACAAAGCACTGCTATGGCAACACAAAATCTCCATGAGCTCCTATTACCAGGAGATGAATTATAAACTAATCTCCTTCTGGTACAGAACACCGACCTTATTACACTGAATCTTTCCCTGCGGTTCCTCCAATGTGCTGGAGATGCCACATAGAGAGAGGTACGCTGCTACACATTTGGTGGGAATGCCGAGAATACCCCCATATTGGGAGATGGTCAAAGACACGGTAACACAGATCCTGGGGGACATACCTGGATGGTCGGCTGAACTTGCACTATTACATATTTCTCCACAATCGATCTCACTCTATAAGAAATCGATCCTACGCCACATGTTAAATGCGACCAAAGCCAATGTGCCAGTCTACTGGAAAAAAACAGAAGTATCTACTAAAAAAGAGTGGATCCGCAGAGTTGAGGACATTCAGGGGGCGGAGGCACTCCATGCATCCTTGACTGGGAGGGAGACCAGGCACACAGAGATGTGGCAGCTGTGGTTCCTGCACATGACCTGCTACTCGCAGGGTGGGGGGATTCCCGGCTCCGGGGGCGATGTGCCGGCAGGTCTGGGCCCTTCCTAGCAAAGACCAAGCCTTTTCCCTCTCCCGCTTTACTTCTTTAAACTGACTTTCCCCTACTTTCCTATACCCAATCACCTAATCTCAGACCCCAGAGAGCTGGAGGGTGGTTCGCAGGGGGTTGACACGCATACCTGCTGGCAACTCGATTCCCTCCTGAACTGGGACCACTGGTAATAAAGGCCCACTCATGGGGGCCACCAAACCTCATAAATAAGAGTATTACATGCTGTAATAAATTGCAGAACACAGGAGAAGGAACAGCTGACGGAAACACGCGTCCAGCCCAAACACAGGCACCCCCGCTAGCTCAGACGGAGCACTCCTCAGACGCTAACACTGACTATACCCCCACCAGATTACCTGGAAACAACAACAAAAAAACATATTAACAGTAAATGCACCACAGGTAGGGCCGGACTGGCCCACCGGGATACCGGGAAATTTCCCGGTGGGCCGTCGGCACCTGAGGCCGGGCAGCCAGCTGGCTCCCCTGCGGCCGCAGAGGGAGCTCCTTTGGCGGCCGCAGGGGGAGCTGGCTGTTGTGTCTCTGCTCCCCCTCCCCAGCGCACCGCACAGTGAGGCTGGGAGCCGGAATATGACGTCATATTCCGGCTCCCAGCCTCACTGTGTGGCGCGCTGGGGAGGGGGAGCAGAGACACAACAGCCAGCTCCCCCTGCGGCCGGCAGAAGAGCTCCCCACAGGTAGAAATTGTGTATGTGTGTGTGTGTCTGTCATTTGTGTGTGTGTCTGTCATGGTGTGTGTGTGTCTGTCTGTGTCATGGTGTGTGAGTGTCTGTCTGTGTCAGCAATGTGTGTCTGTGTCATGGTGTGTGTGTGTCTGTCATGTAATGTGTGTCTGTCTGTGTCACGGTCTGTGTGTGTCATGGTGTGTGTGTGTGTGTCACAGTCTCTCTGTGTCATGGTGTGTGTGTGTGTCTGTCATGTAATGTGTGTCTGTCTGTGTCACGGTCTGTGTGTGTCATGGTGCGTGTGTGTGTTTGTCTGTGTCATGTAATGTGTGTCTGTCTGTGTTACGGTGTGTGTGTGTCTGTGTCACAGTCTCTCTGTGTCGTGGTGTGTGTGTCTGTGTGTCACGGTCTGTCTGTGTTATGGTGTGTATGTGTGTCAAGGTGTGTGTGTCTTTTTTAAGGTGTGTCTGTCATGGTGTGTGTGTGTGTCTGTCTGTGTCATGGTGTGTGTCTGTCATGGTATGTGTGTGTGTATGTGTGTTTTTACTCACCATTTTTTTTTTTCCCAAGTCATGCTGGTCTCCCCTCGTCTGGCCCTGCCTCTACGGCTGAGATCATCAAGCTTGATGATCTCAGCCAATCCGCACTGACACAGGAAGCACCTCTAGTGACCGTCTGAGTGTCTGTCACTAGGAAGCAATGTAAACACTGCATTTTCTCTTAAAAGTCAGTGTTTACATTGAAAAGCCTGCAGGGACAGGCTATAGACACCAGTACCACTACATTAAGCTGTGTGTATGCGCTTGCTTGCTTGTGTGTGTGTGTGTGTGTGCCTGCTACTGAGTGAGCTTGTGTTTTTATGTCAATAACCTTATGATTGAGGCTGTGTATCAATCAGCTTGTCAGTGAGATTGTCTGTGTCTGCATGTGAGTATGCTTACTGTATAATTAAAAATTTTACTCTGAAAGGACCAATATTTTATATTGGAAAAGTGTGTGTATATATATATATATATATATATATATATATATATATATATAAATAATATTGCCAGAGATAGCACTCCAAGGACTAATATAAAATATAACTTTTATTACCTCCACTAAAACAACACAAGGTCAACGTTTCAGCTTGATCCCCTCAAGCTTTCGTCAGGAGATGTCTAGGGTTGCAAGACATAGCCTTACATATTACATGCGACAATATATGGCGCAATGACTTATGGGGCTGGCATAGATTTTTTTTTCCAGGGCTGCTTTGGAATCCCCAGTCCGGCCCTGACCACAGGGGAGGGTGACAAAAGGCTCCCACGCAACATAGGCTCCGACACCTTGGCATACGAGGAAAACAATAAACTAGGCAGATACAGATAACGGCCCATAAGGTCCCGTTACGCAGAGAAGGAAGAGTACCTCTGATGATAACGTGAGAACTGCAACTTAATGGTAAAACAGTCTTTGGTAACCCCACTTTGTATCCTCTATTTTGAAATGAATGCATACCTTTTATTTTCCTGTCGTTTTTGCAACGCTCCTCAACTAACGATGAGGTCATTGTCCAGCTTGCTATCTTTCATGTAAATAGAAGTCAATATGTGCAAGGCCAAATTTGTTCTCTTGTCATCTTTGTAACTGGGACCTGCGAGTCTCACACTGTACCTCTTTTCTGATTCCTGACTTGATACAATATTCTTAATAAAAACAGATTTACGGGGCGAAGCTGAACTAGCTAGCAAACCAGTCGCACATTTCCTGAGCTCCTGCAGTGTGGGCCCAAAACTATGAATATCTCATAGCTACTTGCTGGAAACACAGAGGAAGCACTAACTGACCTGCCGGTACCATCCACGACACCGAACTCGACCGGGAACGTCAGCAGCAATATGAGGCCTAGCGGAGGCACGGGGGATGGACTGCCGCCTTCCCGCCGGTTGCCAACCGCACCAAGTGTACGGAACACACTCACCCCCCCCCCCTTTGGACCGATGGGGGATATCTCGGTCCCGACCGGACAGGGTGCTCCAACCCCCACATGAAACGATGGACACAGTGAACCCCCTATACAAAATGGAGGCGGAAGCCCACAAGATGGTGGAACACCCTGACACAAGAGTGTCAGTTAAGCGATGGCACCAAACTAACACAGCAGTAACCAAAGACTGCACAAGAGACTCTATAGCTACAATCTTTGACAGCCTGCATGCAGCCTGAAACCCTGCGCCAAAAAACGACCACGAGGGTCGGAGCGAAAGGCAGACGGAGGACCGGGGACACCTACCAGGGCAACTTCGCAACCCACACCCCAGTGTCCTACATCCAAGGCCCTCCCGGGCTGAGAGCAACACAGGGTATAACCCGAAGGTGCCAGCCACACTGGCAGAGAGCAGCTCAGCGACCACGTAAGCGACTACCTGAATCTCCCTGCACCACCCCACAAGGTCAACCCTGGACCACACAGGCTCCCAGGCTCGTGGCCTACATGCACCGGCTCTCCTACAACCCTGGGGCAAGGGAGGATTCCCGCCCCCAGACCGACGAAGCTCCGCACCACCGCGACCGAAACGGGGCGCAAGACCCAAGCTTGGCAAGCACCCAACTCCCGGTGGTCGTTGGACTCGCAGTAGCAGCATGGCAATCCCACGCACCATGGGGGTGGGAGCCCTGTGGCGCACAGCAACAGCACAGATACAAACCCTCTCAGAGCAAGCACATGGAGAGCCACTGGTCACACAACGACCCACACCATGCGAAGCTACAACTGGGCTTACCCAGAGAAACACACCAGAGGAATCGGCTGAGATCTGCGGCCACCCCGGCCCCGGCTCACGGTCTGGCTACTTTTCAGGACTTAAATTGTTGGACACTCTGTGATGCATCCACACCTGCTCATTTACCTAGTTATGTTACACTAGACACACTCATATAATAAAAACTCACTAGAAAGTTAATAGCATATTGGAACACGCTATATAAGCGGCCTACTATCATAGCATAACAAGTCTCATATATGATAACACAGATTACATTGGAAAAGTCACACTCGTCATATAGCATCTTAACTCAGCTTGTTTACAATATGATTCCGTTAAGCGACTTACAAAAATATAAACAATGAGGCATTAATATTCTCGAAATGTAATCAACAATGTTTTTGCTGTATTAACCCTATTCTGTGGACTACCCATGCATTTCCCCTGTTTCTATGCCTTCATATGTGCCTTAATAAAAGAAAGATTGACAAAAAAAATTATAAAAATAAAAAAATAAAAACAGATTTACAAAAAAAAAATATTCTGTAACAATAAATGTTCACCTTTTGTTACCAGTTTTCATTTTGTGTTTCTCAGACCAAGCAAATATTTTCTGCTCATGTTTGTTAATAATGCAAGGCTTTTACACGGCTTGAAGCTGGGTGTATTTCCTTCAGGCACTTCCTGAGAAAATTACAATATGCCAGTTAAAAAGTAATCTATGTGTTAGGAGGTAACATTTTAACTAATCCTCATTAACTAATAATACGTGTAACCGTAAATATCAATGTATTGATAGGTAAAATAGAATTCTTCTGCATTTTAAAGGGAAGTTATCACTTCCCATGATTTCATATATGATATATACTTTTCCCTATATTTAACAAATATGTATTTGTGAGGTGTGAAAAAATAAAATTTACGGGGTAATTCTCTAAAGTGAGAATTCAAAGTGAATTTCAGATTTATGGTAAGAAAGGCAAACTGGAAAGTATGTGTACGTCAGCTATGCTTTCAGTTAGGCTAGTCTGGCGTTAAATTTGAAATTCACTTTAAATTCATCCTGTCAGTAACCCTGTAAATAAGCCCTTAGCCCCTTAAGGACCAAACTTCTGGAATAAAAGGGAATCATGACATATCACACATGTCATGTGTCCTTAAGGGGTTAAAGGGACACTATAGTCACCAGAACAACTACAGCTTAATGTAGTTGTTCTGGTGAGTATAATAGCTCCCTTCAGGCATTTTCATGTAAACACTGCCTTTTCATAGAATTGCCCCTAGGGACACCTCTGAGTGGCCACTCCTTAGATAGACACTGGAGGGGCTTCCTGGCTCAGAAGCAGCCCTGACGTTCAGCGTTCCCACGCTCTGCATGGAGATGCTGAATATTCCTCATAGAGATGCATTAATTCAATGCATCTCTATGAGGAGGTCCTGATTGGCCAAAACGACATTTGGCCCCGCCCCGTGCAGATTTTAGCCAATCCAATGCTTTCCCATTGGATTGGCTAAAAATCTGCCTTTTTGATGGTCACAAAGGGGGCTGAGCCAGCTCTGGGGGACCCGCGCGATGCTGGAAATAAGGTGTTTTAAATTTTTATAGGGCGGCTAAGGGGGGGCAGAAAGCCACCTAAATGTTGGGTTAAACACTATAGGGTAAGGAATACATGTTTGTGTTCCTGACCCTATAGTGATGCTTTAAATGTAGAAATCCTGAAACTGGGTGCCCCCATCAATCATTGTTATAAGATCTGTTGTGGTGGCACATAGAAGAAAAGTAATGAACCAATGCTTATAGTTTATTTTTCTCTTCATTGGCAATGATTGCCTTGTCTGAACTGGATTATTAAGTCATTTGCTGAAACTTTAAAATAATTTTGAAAGAAACCACAGCATCTAGCAGAAAAAAAAATGTTTGTTATAGATTCAACATTTTATTTAAAGGACCACTATAGTGCCAGGAAAACATACTCGTTTTCCTGGCACTATAGTGCCCTGAGGGTGCCCCCACCCTCAGGGTCCCGATCCCGCCCGGCTCTGGGGAGAGGAAGGGGTTAAAACTTGCCTTTTTTCCAGTGCCGGGCGGGGAGCTCTCCTCCTCCTCTCCTCCCTTTTGGCTGAATGCGCACGCGTGGCAAGAGCTGCGCGCGCATTCAGCCGGTCTCATAGGAAAGCATTCATAATGCTTTCCTATGGACGCTTGCATGTTCTCACT